TATTTTTATTAAACCTTATTTGGCTTTCATTAAAAATCAATTTTTTAACTTTTAGGCAATTTCCTCTTGAACTTCTTTGCATGCGGCGCGTGTACCCAACCCGAGGATGGTACGTTTAAGGCGTTAGCTTTTGGCTTGGCGGTTTTCATAGCGATTACGGTAAGAATAGAAATAATGATGACAATCAACCGGCAATAAATACGAATATTAAGGAGCGTGTGCGTATAAAGAGACACATAAATAGATATTGATTTTATTACTGCTGAATGTTTGTTTAATTTTTTCTAAAAAAATTCAAAAAATATTCAAAATCCATCTAAAAAACTATAAAAAAACAACAACAATACATTACAAATTTGGTCTGCTAGAACTTTTTTGCCGACAATCACTTGCATATCCTTAAATGGTTTGCTGCCTTGCTATGCTCGAGAGTAAATTTGTAATGTATGGCATAACATCTATACGTACTAACTAAGTATGTACATATGTATGTATGTACATGTACGTATCACCGTAAAACTAAGTACACTAAGTTGTTTGCTTGTTTTCCTTGTTCCAAATTCTTTTTACGAATAGCAGCATAAATAATTGAAATTGACTATTTTTTTGGTAAGTGTTGCCGCTTTGAGCTTACATGCTAGAGAAATATAGTGAAATACATCCGAAAAGAGTTGGACTATTTTTGGAATATTTTGCAAGTTTTTCACTAAAAATTGTTTTTTAAGCGTATTTACATTTCTACTGAATTTTCAAGTTGAGTATTCCTCATTTTTTAATTTAAAATTTTTCTACATTCGAAGTTAAATATTTCTATTTCGAAATTCGAAAAATACATAAATAACTCTTTAATTTCGAACTGCATAGCAATTTCTACTGAATTTTCAAGCTGAGTGTTCCTCATTTTTATGAATTTCGAATTTTTCGAAATTCGAAGTCAAATATTTATATTTAGAATTTCGAAAAATAGAGAAATAACTCGTTAATTTCGAGCTTTGATGATAAATACTTCGATTTTCGATTTGCCATATTACTTAATGAAGAGCTGTAGTACCGATTAGTTCTCTTGAAGTTTTTTTGGGCAGACATCAATATCAAAAGTTTAAGCCAAATCGCTAATTTCGTTGAAGAGTCTCATGCATCATCATACTATCGTTTGAATAATTTTTGTGGATCTTGTCTTCTTAACCACTGAAAATTTAGGAATTTTGGTTTTTGTTCCAACTTTTTTCTTGCAAAGTTTTTACCTGCAAGTGGTGATGACTAGAAATATAAAAATAAAAGTATTTATATTTGGACGTCGATTCTCATAAAGTCTGCATAGATATACTATATTAAATATATACTTTCAATGTCTGGTGTAATTTTTACTCATTTGCGCCTCGCCAAAAATTGATGCGGTCCATTTCGGCCACAACGAAAATTACTGCGCGAATAAGTAAATATATACGAATATACCTGTAGTATAAATTTATATACATATATACATTATAAATAATACATTTGGTGGAAAATTAGTTTCTCAGATAAATTTTGTTGCATTTCACCATAAATCAGAACTTAGAATGCCACAATTTTCAGTAGCAGTAGTAATAGTAGAATTTAGACAATAAAATGTATTTAAGTGATAATGAGCGACGAGTGAATTGCAAAGTTTAAGTATATGAAATGCAAAATCACAAGTACAAATATTATATGTACATGTGTGTGTTTTTATTTATTTACTACATGTAAGTGAAAGCGTTTCTATGCACAAGCACTGTAATTACTTAATATTATTAGTAGTTAGTAAATATTAGTGGAGAATATAAACAAGTATGCACACTCTTACTACAAAAGTATACTTCTAACTTACATTTAAATATTCACTCCCTTAACAGTAAATCTTTATAATTTCAATAATTTTTATTATTTTCAGGTTATTGGCAATATTAGCGGTGGTCACGTAAATCCTGCCGTCACAGTTGGTTTGTTAGTAGCGGGCCGCGTAAGCGTTTTACGTGCCGTGCTCTATATCATATTTCAATGTTTGGGCTCCATCGCCGGCACGGCAGCTATTCGTGTGAGTATATTTGGCTTCGTTTTTATGCTACGAAAATATTATTTGTAAAGTTTTGTTTTATTTAATTATAAATGATCTTTTCGTTGTTTTTCAGACTCTCATCGATGAGGTGTACTACAATGGCTTGGGTCACACACATCTATCCCCAAATATTACCGAGCTACAGGGTCTCGGTATTGAATTCTTTTTGGGTCTAGTGTTGGTGCTAACCGTATTTGGCGCTTGTGATGCACATAAACCAGGTGAGGTGGATTCAGTTTTTTGATTTGAGGTTAGGGTTTTTAGGTTACTTTGGATATCAAACTAGCCTGGATTATATATTTAATTATCATCAACTTTGTACGACAATCAATATGTGTCTTCGCCAGTGTTACTACTTCTCAAAGTTGAATTTAAATTATATAACCTATATTTTCTTACATTACTTTAAAGACTCCCGCTACACTGCACCACTCGCTATCGGTCTCTCCGTGACTCTCGGTCACTTGGGCACAATTCGTTACACCGGTGCCAGCATGAATCCGGCACGTACTTTGGGCACTGCCTTCGCTGTCGACAATTGGGATGCACACTGGGTATACTGGGTTGGACCCATACTGGGTGGCATCGCAGCTGCGCTCATCTACACACAAGTGCTGGAGAAGCCACTGCTGCAGACCAGCGTTAAAGTGATTGAGGTGTCCGAGAAATATCGAACACACGCTGATGAGCGTGAGGTGAGCATGGTTAAAACCTGGAAAGACTCAGATTTCTACTAAAAACTAAAAAACAAATCAACAAAAATACAAATAAAAAAAGAAAAGTTGCATTTCCAGTGTTTGATTGAGCGGATAAGCGAAGAGTTTATTAAAGTAGAAAATTTAATAATGCAGCATGCTTAATTTATATAACATGCCGTTATGTATATATGTATATAATATGAGCCGAACAATCGAATGCTGGAATTCTGAAAATATATATATATATATATATTTATTATTATAAGCTTTTATATGCTGCTACCACAACACACCCACATAAAAACTAAAAACTTCAAAATACTAAGCACAGCATCTAGCAACATATCACATACATATGCAAATATATATTATATATAATACTTACAAATGCAAAATCATAATACCTTCATAACACACACATACATAAACATACTTTTGTGCATACTCGTTTAACAGCTGATCTCATTTGCTTAATTCGCTTATCTTATTTATTTATATCATAGATTTTTGTCTATTAAAACGTGTCTCACCTTTCTTAAAATACAGATGAGAAAACTGGATAGTGCACGTGATTACGCTTAATTACAAATACACCATAAACACAAAAACAACGCAAATAAATGAAATTAATATGTGTCAAAATAAAAGTAATGATTAAATCGCGCTGAGCTGCGTTCCAACATTTATATAAAAATATGTGTGTCCACAGAAAAAATAAAACCATTTTACTCTAGCAATATGGAAAATTCAGCGAAAGAACTCTGCATATATTGCACACATATATAAACTAATTTTTCATTTGCGCCACAACCTGTTGCATGCCACATATCATTGCAATATTTTGTTGCGAGAAAAAAACCACAACAAAAGTGAGCAGCAATAAATTGCTACAACAACAACAACGAATTAACGCACAACGTCAAAAATTACTACAACAACAACCGGCAACAAAGTGGCATTTCAACACAGTCCGGAGCAAAGCAAATATACAAGCATAACGCAGTATTTACATATCTGCAAACTGTATTTGTAACTATCGTTAACTTTTTGTCTACTTCTTCCGCTCTTGCAATTATACTCAAACATTCATGTAATTATTTATGTGTAAATGGAGCTTTTAACAATTTCTACACTCATATATATTTTTGTTGTAATTTTAATTTATGTCTTTACATCTAAACTTTTCAGATTTTTGTCTATTTTATTTGTATATGTATGTAAAAGCTTGAAAATTTACAATTTATATAAGTAATACATAAGCGCCTATATACAAAAGAGTATTTTTGCAACAACATAAAACTGCGATTATATCGATATTCGATCATTTAACAACAATAAACTAACAAAATAAAATATTATAATTATGATAAAGTACTAATTAAGGCGAAGAAAGAAGTTTGTTGACGTCAAATTGCTTTCAATAAAAATTTATAAAATTTGATAAACTTTCTATTTTCTTATTTTATTTCACATTTCTTAAATGAAAAGGAGTTTTTATGCCATTGTTAGCATTTGAAAAAAATTTGAGCATGGTTATAGGCGCCAAAAAACACGCGTCTATTAGAGGTGTGTATCGTAGCTAAATTCTATTTGTGTTGCCCTACAAATCAAATTCGCCATTCACGGTAGTATCAGAGCAGACCTTGCTGTGGCTAATTTTTCCACTTATATCAAAGAAAAAAATGTTCACTCGGTTTGAGCCTTAAAACGGAAGCACCCTCATATAATGACTTGGCATACATGCGAATTCAAACGCAATTAAGTTTATATACTTAAATTTAATACATTTTTAGAATATAAAAAATTCAAAAAATATAAAATCTTCACCCTGTGGGACAGCAGAAGGTGTGTGTCTTTACTACAAGAACTTGTAAGCACTGAAATAATTCGCCTGCCACTTTCTAAGCTTTTTCTTTTAAGAGTGTAAGAGGCACTGTTTCACCATTGCTTTATATACCATAGTAAAAGTCGATTTTCAAAATGAATTAAGCAAATACTGAATTTATGAAAAGGATAATATTTAATTGGATAATTTTAATTGCTAATTGCAAAAGCCAATCAAAAGGGGATTGGAAGGGGTTTCAGACGGTTTTTTTAGCGTCATTTCGCTTGCTAAATGTATACACCAGACACCGTTGTGCTTTCTGTCTCAAAGTGACCCCTTTTCAGTGCATTGGTAAAATGCTGTTATAATAGGTCTAGTAATAGGAACTTAATTATATGGAAGCTATACGGTAGTTTTAAAACGACTTCTCAGATAGTTTTATGCTGTCTTGGCTTAGTACAGTTTGAGATCGTGCCGAAGATCGACATCAGCAAAGAGCAAACACGCTATACTTTACAGTTTTTCTTTGTTGAAGACTAGGCGGCAGGTAAAATGAATAGTTATATTGGTTTTGATACTAAATAAGTCGAATCGGAGCATTTTTAGTTGTCGATTCCATTCCGGAATTTGATATAAAAGACCGATAAGCATGCCCTAGAAGACCATATATATTTCATTTCTTAAAATGTCTTGAACTGCTACTCCATAAAATAAAAAATAACGTCTTCAAAACAACAAACATTAATTGAGTAATCATAAAATTTGACAACTCTTAGCTTTGGTCTGCACAATGTTAGTATAGCACATACATATGTACGTCAAAGCGCAGTTATGGATCCTAAGCAACAAAAGTCAAAAGTTCGACAACTGTGAAATGTCACTGAGTGTACAAATAAGCCACTTAAAAGATAATTTACAGTTACAAATTAAGCGATTTATAAATAAAATTGCTGTAAAATCTACTTACATACAAAAGCGTGTGGTTTACAATAAATATGTATGTAAGAATATGTGGGTATGGAAGTGACTGTCTCGGCGCTTAGAACTCTTCATTTTTGCCTCTAACAAAACATTCTAAGCAAAACCATATGTGACACACAGATATCGATGTACTTGTGTTTGTTTGATACGCTACAGCATCCCATTTAGAACTGCGCGCCCCCACAGCACACATATTGCCACATGCCACTACGCGCCATTGCCTGTTAATGTAAAGAATTCTAGTAATTTATTAAATATGAATGTCAACGAATTAACTCCGTTGCGGCTACGCGATCGTCTGCGAGCGCAAACGACAAGTATGAAGTGAATGAATAGACACCCCCGCATACAAATTTCATTTGCTTGCCGCACAGATGAGCTGGCGCAACCGACAACAATGGGCTATGGGCTTCACAGTGAACCTAGACCACAGACACGCGTTGTTGTATGAAAGCTGGGACCAGTGAAGGGGGAGGGGAATTTTATGAGCAGCACGAAACGCTATCATTGCCTCATTGCACACATCGCTGCGTCGTAAGCGTGCGTGTGTGTCACTTTAACGACCTGTCTGTCCGCCAGCTTGCCTGACTGTCACAATAATAGCGCCTGTAGGGAGTTGAGCGCCTTTCCATTCACTGAACCATGCCAAAAATCAGCCAGCAAGAAGACTACGATGCCACCATCTCATAACCACTTTAACCTAAGTGTGCGAGTGTGTGTGGCACGCTAATGTGCTCGTCTGCAGATCCATCCATCGCGATGGGCATCCACCCACGCGGCAGCCACTCGCTGCGCTGAACTGATGAGGAAGTAACTAGAGCGCATAGCAAGATCGTTTGCATATTTTCCTTACTTCCTACAAAGTAATTTTCCTTCTCCTCATTCACACACACTCATACATAATAGCGCACTAGCGCGATGGCGTGATCTTCTGTGGTGATGGGTTTGACTTGCTTCCATTTGTCATTCACTCGGTCGGGGGGCACGGAGTGCGCATGTTGCCACATAAACACATACATAATTACAAATACACATTTCGTTGACATGAATTTTTCGATTACGTGTAATATGTGAAAAATGCAAATAATACTGCCGCTTATATTGAAGATCTCTGTCAATAAATCTCTATAATGGAAATGTGCCTCTTGCTGTCGGCCGACACATTGATCGATGAGGCGATTGTGGAAATATTTGTGGATTTTGTTTTGTGAAATTTGTCATTGGCGCTCTGTTGGTTCCTGGCTTTGTTTTGTCGATTTTAATTTATGTGTTGATGAAAATTATCTATGTTAATTGGAATTAAATATAATGAGTGCAATAAATAATGAATTATCTTTCCAAAAAAAAAAAAAAAAAACTGTAAATGGTTAGTGATTTCCGTCTAGAGAGTATGTATGTCATGCAGTAAGAACTATATTTTTTCTCGAGAACAGCAGATTAATGTCACTTTTCTTTCATCCTACACTCTAAGAAATAAATAGGGCTTGGTTTGACGCTGAAATATATACAAATGTATACACATTGCTTAATATAAAAATATATAATAAATCAGAGCAGTCAACAAATTTGGGAGAAAATCAAATGTGAATTGAATTGTATTCAGTCAGTGGCGGCGAATTTGACATAATTTCACAAAATTATTTTGATGACAGTAGGGTATGTGTAATTGTAAGCAATCAATAATAATTTGGTTTTCTGCCACGTCGATAACAGCAAAACGAGGAAGTGTTTAAAATCGATGGGAAGTCGGATTATAAATTTTAAGCTTTACTCTTCTGGATAAAATCCAGGAAAACATATTCAATTCAAACTGTCATTCTATTGGCATACAGCTAGGATAGTCGATTTTCACAAGCTTCTCTTAACGCGAATTTTTCAACAGCAGAATAATTCACCATGCTGTCTATGAGAACAGCCAATTTTTAATAACTCTACTATAAGGTGGATGCATAACATTATTCCGTCCATTTTCTGACAAGTGCGTACCCATGTATGTGTCTTGGCGTTATCCGAATGAAACACAATTCCTGTACTATTGTCCGAAGCTAACCTCTTCTAGGCGGTAGCTTGCCACAGACGGTCCAATTGCTAACAGTTATAGTAGAAGATCCCCCACTAATCCCACCAAAAATATAGAAAAACACACCTGGTTCTTAATCCTGGCTTAGGCATCGTTTGTACTGACGCACATAGATTCAACCACAACTATTGACGTTGTCGTAAGGGATTCTTTATCACCCATAACCATCCGCTTTATGCATGGATTGATTTTCCTGCGATTCAGCATATGAACTGTTGGAATGTTTATTATCATTCGAAAGAAAATTATTTGGCATTTATTTCTTGAAGGCTATCTCTTCTA